CTGAAGTCGATTTCGGAAAATGCGTTTAAAAAATGTTTTGATGATTGGATTATTCGTTGGCATAAATGTATTATTTCGAAAGGAGCCTACTTTGAAGGCGATATAATAAATTTGAATGAATAATAACTATTTTGTGTTTTATTGACCAATTCCCGGTACTTTTTTGACAGAATGTATTATTGTATTCATTATTTTCATATTAAAAAATTATTTTGTAATGTTAAAATATAAAACAAATCACCCCTAAAGTTTTAAGAAAATCGGTTTCGTGGTTTGTTCATAAAAAATTTATAAAAAACAGCCATTTTTCAACATTCTAAACCACGTTCCCCACTTAAATTAAACAATAAAATGTACTAACCTTTATAAATTATTTAGCAGCCAGACCGTACGCATACTTGTAGGGACTTTTAAAAAATCATGTTAATTTTTATTGTCTGCTCTCGGTTGTGTACAATTAACAAAGCACATAATTCCGCCAATTCCGATGTCATTTCCGAAACAAGTAAAGAAGCCATTTATTTAAGAAACTTGTTACAAGAAATAACACAGAAGATTCATATTGTATTCGCTTATTTAATGATAATCAGAGCGCACAAAAATTGTTAGTAAACGCTATGTATCACAAGAGATCTAAACACATAGATAAATGTACATCATTTTATTAGAGAAGTGGTTTCAAATAAGTTGGTAAAGATAGAATATTTACAATCAACTGATATGCTAGCAGATATTTTCACTAAAGGAGTCCTAAAAAGCATTACAAATTTCTAGATAGGCTGGATATAAAAAGTTTATAATATTTAGATAGTAAGAATGAAATATAAATGATCTGAATGATATGAATAAATCTAAATGATGCAAACTCTATGGTTGTTCGTGTGACGCCACCTGTACTAGATATGTACGTTTCTACTTCACTTATGAATAAAGTCTCGTACTGAGTACTCGAGAAGTATAATATAACTTATATAACTTATTTAGCCATTTTTACCTTTGTCTATATATTTAGAGACTTAATTAATCAATCGGAAATTTCAAAATAAAGAGGAATCAGAGGAAGTTTCAAAATAAAAGTCATACATAATCTTTTTTTGCCCTCCACAGTTGTATTTGGTGACCTAGATTACAACAATAAATTCAAAATATTTAGATATAACATCGATGTACAATACAAGATAATTCTCAATAGATTAGGTATCTATGTAAGATATACATAGCATATATATATATATATATATATATATATAAGTATAGATGACACATACATATAGCATGATTCCGTAATATTCGATACAATCGCTAACAAATAACATTTAATAGTTGTTTTAGTTTAGATATCTTTTGCACTCGTTTTATTTTATGCTCGGAGAATATTATGTTGACATTTGTTAATATGTATACAATATCTGCTTCTGTATCGTACTATTATAGAATATTATCATAATACATATCATGATATTTAATCAATCACTTAATACTAGTAAAATTTAATTTCATCAAGCTAGTCGTTAAGGAGTAAGACAAGAATATCGATAACAAATCAGAAATCAGTAAGCCAGGCTATCAAATAATTTTAAATTCGATATTTTGTACGTTAATTATACAATCATCTATTAAAATGTCTGTTAAATAGGGAATTTGTAGAATGTTTCGATAAAATTTAAATTGATATTTTATTTGACGTGCAATTTATAAATGATTGATTGTACATATCTAATTGCGAATCGCGAATTGAATAATGTGGGATCAATTAAAAATATTTAATTCGGCTGATAACAAATTAACATAACAAATTTGTTTGTTAAAACTCAATTAAAAATCTATAATTACATCCGTAGAAACAATTAACAATGCTAATTTAAGAATATTTATGTTAAAACAAGAAAAGAACGATCAATCTTCTTGGAGATCTTCAGATGTTTTGTATGCGCTTCGATCATTCTCAAAGAAATCTTTTTTTTTCATGATTTCAAAGGAAAGAATGAAATCCTGTGAGGAGTTTTGAATAACCATTTAATCTTAAATTTCTAATGATGTATCGAATATCTTTCCTGATCAACTTAATACGCATGATTAGCGACGAAAAGTGCCGTGCCTCCCGCAGCACCGGTCACGCCACCCGCGTATTTGCCAAGTGCCGACTCACTGTTAGCCTGTTGAAAAACAGAAAATGTATTTGCAATACTAATTGACATACTCAGTCGATATATTTTTTTTTAGAAAGCTTGTAGAAAATTGCAAAAATGTCAAATAAACAAACGAAATTATTCTTCCAAACAGAAAAAGAATTTTAGGAAAAATTTTGTAAAAATTCTGTAATAATGATTGACATTAATCAATTGCATCAATTAATACTAAGTAATGAGAAGTTTGAATAAATATTTAAGTTAAATAGTTCTTCAACACATGTGCTTATGTCATAGCTATAGGGTACGTTTAGCAGACTCAACTGTTGCCTGTATAACACGTAATGTCACAGTAATATCGCAGCAATATTGCAATATACCAGAAATATTATATATTACAGTGTAATATCAAACAAATATTATTAATTATATATTACACGCTGATAAATAACATTGAAATATCACAGTAATTTTGATGTCACAATAATATTGTTGCAATTTATCACAATAATATTGTAGCAATGTAACTTATTAAAGAGCATATTACATATTAGTGCTCGTAAAGATTTGTACATTTTAGGCTGATTCCGGCGAGCGATCCTCACCGCTCGAAGCTTGGTGGCCGAGCTGCCCAGCGCTCACGTGACGGTCTGGCTCAGGAGCATCTCTATACCAGAAATATACTGGGAGCGCATCTTCCGCCAAATTATTTTTTTTTTATTAAATAATTTATTTCTATTAACATAAAAACTTCTCGCAATAAGTTTATTACAGTTTTAGATTAAATTTAAGAAATTTGGGGGGATTATTAATATATTTCAGATTAATTGCGTTGAAAATCCGACAACTATTATACGAGTATATCGACACGCAATTATAATTTCTGAAATTAATTAATTTAAATGAATATATAATAGTTCAACATCTTAACATTCAGACCATAGTGGCGCTTTGTATTTAAAGTAATGTATAAAAATTTCTATTATTAATTCATTCATTGTTTCTTAATGATACACTTATATCTTTTAACGTAGTTTTCTAATACATTACATACTCGTAATTATGATAACGTACATTTCGACAATAGCTTTCCACATCATCCGAGAGGTACTATTGTAAGATGCGTTTTTTTTTTAATGTGGTTTCCCCCAGTAGGCCTATTCCACAAAAAGAAACATCAAATACTCGAATGTGACTTGACAGAAAAACAAAAATTATACGATATATAATTTTGATTCTTCTTTTTGCGGAATAGGCTACTGGGAAAACCACATTAAAAAAACGCATCTTACAGTAGTACCTCACGGGTGATGTAGAAACATATATTGTCAAAATGTACGTTATCATAATTATGTAATGTATTAGAAAACTACGATTATATACTACTTAAGATATATCATAAGTATATCATTAAGGAACAATGAATAAATTAACAATAGAAATTTTTATGTTAATAGAAATAAATTATTTAATAAAAAACATGTTTCAATAATAATTTGGTGGAAAGTGCGCTCCTAGTATATTTCTGGTATAGGAAACGCTCCTGAGCCAGAGCGTCACGTGAGCGCTCGGCAGCTCGACCGTCGAACCTCGAGCGGTGGTGGGGGTCGCTCGCCGGATAAGCTCGAAACGTGCAAATTTTTGCGAGCACTGTTAATATTATAATAATATATATTATACATACAATAACGTTTTTATGATGTTTACTTAACGTTAAAGATAATACATTAAGACATTAATTTATTTAACGTTAAAGATGTCATTAAGATATTTAATTACTGAGATATCACAAAATTATACGTACACAGACATATAGGATAAAGACAGCTATAAAATGTTAAAACTAACATTATTCCGATATAAAATGCATATTAAGATTTTTAATTGATACATATACATATTTATCATACATACTATATATGATTATAATTGTATTACTACCAGTTGACTATCAATACTGAAAATTTATGATTCCTGTTACGTATACTACAGATTTTCAGTATTGGTAGTCAACTGGCAGTAATATACAAACATAGCCTAAATGGTAGCAGTTCATTATTCTATCATAAATATATACTTATATATTGCTGATTATAAATAAAATGATATAAACAAAATATGCTTATTACTTCATATTTAATGATTATAACAGGTGATTAAAAATTATACTATCGAGGAGGAAAAAACGTTGACAAAGTTGTGAACAAAATAACGAACCTAATTTTTACTTTAGCTAATTAATTCTTTAGCATGTAGCTATAGCTACCTTGGGAAGCAGAAAAAGAAATTATTTTATAATTTAATTTTATGTAAATGTGTTTTAAGTAAATTTATAGTGAAATTATAGTAAATAAATGTTATATTGTTTTAATTAAAGATAAGTAAAAGTAATTGAAATTTAATATTTATAATAAAATACAAGATTTAAATATAGTATATATATAAATAGTATTAACAATCATTATTATTTTCTAATTAAAGGGGTGCTGGAGTAACGATCAAACTTAATTGATGTCGATAGTACAGATTTTTTTTAATTCCAAATAAAAAAACAATAACAGTAACATCTTTAATTCATTTCTTACATTATCATTCTGTCTCACTCAAACGCGTACAACTGTTCTTATCTAAAATATTGTAATGCCATCTCTTACAAAATCGAACATCTACTGCTAGACACAACTACTACTTTGTTTATCACTCCGAGTTTCGCTCAGCATTTGTATACATGTATTGTAATTGCGGATCGACATAAATCTTTCTTTTTAAGTTTTGTGATGTGACAATTTTTGTCCGTCACTGTCGCAGATCGTCTGCGGGGGGGATCTTGCATCCTCTCGGCTCAGAGGGCAAACGCGCCAGCGGGTCCGCGTACGAGCTCACATATAAGCGTGCATTAATCGTTTGGTTAATTTATTTGTTGAAAACTTATTTTTTTTAGTCAGTATTACATTAAAATCTTATATCACTGATGGACGTACTCGATGGCTGAATTGTTGTTTTGTAATCTTATTCTTCATCATCAGAAGAAGACCGCACTACGCAGAGAAGGACGAAGATGCAATAATATGCTGCGAGCCGCCTCACCCAAAAGCCCCGACACGCAAGTCGTATAATTTCATATATTTTTGTAATGCGCCGTCATTCTGAACTTTGCTGTATCGAAAATTAGAGAAGAACTATGGAAAGAGAAAGTTCCATGTATGCCAGATGGCTGAGGAAGACACCAGTCGGAGATCAAGACACCCGGCGCGGAGCCGGTGGAGGAGCTTGCCAAGATCTTCCGAGCCAGATCACATAACCTAGGAGGCTACATGTGACGTTGGAATCCTTCAAATCATACTGCGCGCCTTAAAGAGCAAAAATTCACGGGGTCACTTGACTAATAAGGGCCAATCGGCGCGTAACATGGTCCTAATTAGAGGGGGGCCGAATAGCCTTCGTGAATCCGCGGAAAATTCCCGGCTGGCACAATGATTGAATTAGAAAGGTTATCCATTGCGCTTAATGGAGGAGAACCCGTCACATGATTTGAGATCTCGACCAATCAAAAATTGAGTTCATTGCAGCGTGAACGAGTCATGTGAATTTCTGCAAACTGGAGCTGAACTCAAAACTTGGTTAACAGATCCCCTCACTCCACTCTTTTCAATCTACTGCGCATCCATGGAAATGGGTGTGCAACTTCTTTTTAATTCAACCATGACCAGCACTCGTATTGTGGCCGAATTATTGTAATTATGAGAGGACGCACAATTTCTCAAGTTATTGGGGGGAAGAGGGGGGGGGAGGTTTATAAAGCAGAGCCGAGGTTGTCGTAAGGATACCAGAAGATATGAGGAGTCATTGGGTGAGACGAACGTTGCCATAATTATGAAGCTGCCGATCTTGAGATTGCTAGGGTCGGATGGATCGCGCATGAAAACTCGAGAAATTTCGAGTAACCGATCTAATAGCTGCTGTGTAAATCAACAAAAAAGTACGAGCCACGTGCCATTCGCCCTTACGTCTTTTCTTTTTGAGAAAAATATTAGTTGCCGATTAGCTCTTGCCCCCTTGCCACAGTCGAGTCACTTTATGTTAAGTCAATTATGTCATTGTGTATCAGTCGAGACTTTTATTGATTGCGAACAGAATCACTATGTAAAAGTCGTGTCAGAGATCCGTTCTGATTCGCGCCGATGTAATCCATCCTGGTAATATACTTTATGTCAGAATACAACTTTTGTATACTGGCGATAGATTTTATTTCGCATTTAATTATCGTATTATTCGCCTTTTTGATGTGATCGTTCGTGGAGCCAAGATTTAGCGAGATCTTACGAGGTATGTTCAAAAAGTATCGCGAATTTTGAATTTCCGCGGGTTACGTACGAGTATATTCGATTTTCGATTTTTTGTGGCGTTATGTTGGTACTCATGTCTCTCACTTATGCCGACAAGTTCGGCCATTTTGAATGTTCAGTTAATTTTTGACAACTGCTTTGCTTGCACGTGTTTTGGCTCGTCTTCGATTTTTGCCTATTCCAAAAAATGGATCAAAGAATCTGTATCAAACTTTGTGTGAAAAACAATATTAAGTGCGCGGACGCATTCCGAATGTTGACTGTGGCATATGGTGAACCTACCTTGGACCGAAGCAACGTTTATCGGTGGTACAAAATGTTCTCAGAGGGCCGAGAAGATGTGAACGACGAAGAGCGTGCCGGACGCCCGAGCACGTCAACAACAGACGAAAACATTGATGAAGTGAAGAAAATAGTATTGGCCAATCGGAACGGTCAATAAGGAATATTACCTGCAAGTTATGCGCAATTTGCGCGAAGCAATCCGCCAGAAACGCCCGGATTTGTGGAAGAACAAAAATTGGCTTTTGCACCATGATAACGCCCCTGCTCACACATCGTTGCTTGTGCGCGAATTTTTGACCAAAAACAACACACTAATGATGCCGCAGCCACCGTATTCCCCAGATCTGGCCCCCTGTGACTTTTTCTTGTTCCCGAAACTGAAGAGGCCCATGAAAG